GGCTCTTTGTTCCCGCCGCGCTGCGGAGCGGGGCCCGCGCCGGCCCTGCCCGCTCCCCACCCGCCCCCACGCCGGGAAACCCGCCCCGTCTCGCGCCGTCTCCCCGGCAGCGGCTCCCTTCTCGGCGCCTCAGCGCCCGGCGCGGCCGCCGCCGCCTTTTCTCGTTGCCGTTTCGTTGTTCTCCCCCAATCCCTCAGAGTTTTGCCCCTTTTTGTCGCTGTGGGGGAGCTCAGGCCGTTCGCGGCCTTCGGAACCCCCTTGAAGGCCCTTCGGGGCGGTGGGGAAAGCGACGTCTTTTGTCTCAAAGCGGAGCCTGCCGGAGCTCGGCCCTGCGCGGCAGCCCCGTCTGGGGCTCGAGTGGGGCTGGCACCCGCGCTCCCAGCCTCGTGGCGTTCATTTTAAGTGGAAAATTTGCACCTTTTCTTCTCCAGAGAAGGAACTCTTTGTCTAACCGTGGAAAATGAGCTGTTTATGTCAGTGTTTCAGTCAAAATAGTGGGCTGAGGGGCTGCAGCGAGGGTGGGATTCCTTTGCTGTCTGTGCGGGATGGTCTTCACCTTTGCTTGCAGAAAGGGGTGGTTTCTTGCAGAGTTGTGGCTTCCACAAAAGCCCTTTAGCAGCAAGGGCTAAGTGGTTTGTTCCAAAGGCCCRTGTCATTAAATTACTTCATAGCGAGAGAAAACGTATGCTTTGTGTAAGGTTCCTGGCAATGTCTTGTTTGCACTGGTCTCCCAGACRTTAGTTTTGATGAACTGGAATTCCTAAAAAAGTTGTTGTTACAATAGACTGGGAAAAAAAACCCAAATATTCCCTCCCCCTACACACACGCTCCATGTGCTGTTTTATAAACTTAGCAGTACAAACTTAGCTTTTCATTTTAGCTCAGTGTCTCTTTAAAATAACAACTTTTATATAAAATCTTTTTGATACCCTGGTGCAAATGTTGCAGTCAGAATACAGGGATAGAAGCATTATGAACCACTGATATGCACTTCATGTATAGATGGCTACTAAGCTACTGCTAAGTCTAAACACTAATGTTCCTGGTCCAGATCAGTTTAATGCCCACTCAGTAACCTGTTTTCTTGATTTTTAYCATCCATGTAGTACAAATAACAAATTCAGTTGAAAGGAGCTTCAAGAAATGAGTTAATTCAGCCTCACACTCAAGGCACRGCTAGTATGAGTTGATTTATACCCTTTTTTTAATATGGATACATTGACAATAATTTAAACACGGGGTAAGAAGTTTCCACGTGCTCAGTTAAGCACTGCAAGGGTTGTCACTCTTATTAGATGCTGAATTACCAACGCCAGGTGTTAACACTGGTGAACCTGTCGCCCCTACTGCAAAAGCCTGAAGGGAGYAGACTTTGGGCTAAGAAATAGCTGTGTAGGCTCAACTTTCCAGTTGCTTGATTGACTCAAGTTGCAGTTACTTTTCTTGAGTCTTCTATGGTCTAGCTCTTCAGAGTGCTGCACGTGAGTACAGACTATGTTACAAAACATAGCAGGACGGGACTTTGTAATCATTTGTTTTTGTCTTTCTTCTGTTCTTTTGTAAACAATAGTCGCTGACTGTTATGGTAGTCAGCCCTTCAGAGCTCCTCAAGAGCTTAAAACTGCCTTGGGAAGTGCCTGAAGTCATTGATCCCTTCAAGTATAGGGGCAGGCATGTTCAAATCTCCTTTTGTCTGTAAGGACATTGTCTATAGGTCTATACGGACAGAGTTCTCCATGCTTCTAGTTAGAAACCCAGGATATTTGGGGATTAACCTACTGAGACTGCCTGGAAAGCYTGAGACCTTGCAGGTCATGCATTTTTCTGTGTGAAACCTGGCAGACTGATTCCAGAACTCAGAATCCAGCACTCAGCACTGCAAGCTGCCTTGTTCTCCAGCAGTCCCTGGGTAACTTTAGCTTATATCACTGAGCCATATGTTGTAATAATCTAATCTTACCCAGGGATGTTGCCTTGGTTCATGTCTAAAAGGCCATAAGCATTGCTTTCAGTTTATTATCTGCTTCTAGTTGACTAGGTTACAGTTGTAATATGATCAAACAACAGCTGGGGATCAAAAATAACTTGGAGGTTGCAAACCGTAGAAGCTAACAGGGGACAGACACTTGGGGAAGTGACAGGCAGCTTGTTCTTGCACCCATTACAATTCTCTTCCAGTTAGTGTGAGCCAAGGTGCTATACAGCATCTGTGAGAAGGGGAGAGTTTGCCCATGGGGAGAGAGATAGGCTGCACCCTGAGCTTGTTCCTTGTGGGCTCTCCTCRTTTTTAATGGTAGGTGAAACTGGAATGCAGCTAGCAGTGTGTATTTCCTGTATATTCCAGTGTGTATTTTGGGAGAAGGGTGATAATGGGAGAAGAGGAATGCCTGGAAGCAGCTTTATGTCCCTAAAAGCAGGACTCCTGATGTACAGGACCTGCCTACAACCACCCTCACYTGCAGTCGGTGCCCTTGGTACACCAGGAATCCTCAACACTGCATTTGCCTTGATCCCTTCTTTGCTACCTTTTTCTTTTTCCTGTCTACATTTATCTCTCCAGCTGTGTAATGGGAGTAGCAGCTGGCTGGCATGTGAACATACTGGGACATAGTGTGCCCTTATGCAAGGGGTTTTGGGGGTCTTCAGGATGTGCTGCAGACCTCTTGGCATGTCCAGGTTGTCAGGTTAAGTATTTCTATGCTACCTGTCAGAAGCAATTGCAGCAGCTCTAACAATGAATTCTTTCTGTACCAGGGAGCATAGTTTAGCCAGTACTGATGCTTATCCAAATCTGTAAAGCTTCAAGAAAACAGTAGATTAGCCAATTTGACTTTTGACTGAAAATCTCCATCCATATACATCATGATTATTCTGTTGCCCATTTCAAGCTTTTATACCTCAGCCTCCAAATGCAACCCTGCTGCCTGTTTCCCTTTTTGCATTAACACTCTAGTAGTTGGACTCCAGCCTCTTCCTGCTTAGAGGCTTGGGTTTAGGCCCCTCCTTGGTAGCTGCACAGTCAGTTACAACCTTCTTTCACTCCRTTGTGTAATGCTGTGCTGCCTGGTGCCTGCACAAGTGTTCTGAGCTGGCACTCTGTGATGTCTCAGCCTTAGTTTTGTGACTAAAGATTGTTTTGGAGTTGGTGCACAGTGATCATAAAGCCAAAGGTGTGGGGTGGAGTTAAAAGCTCCCTATTGAAATTCTGTTTCTGTCATTAGCAAAACTTCACTGTTGTCTATACAATAAACATCTGAAAGAGAAGATTTGAGCTATAAAGCCATTCCCTGCTGCTTCAGGGGCAGCTATCCTGAGCTGAAAGTCGCTGTGGGACAGGGTCTGAAGTGGGAGAAGAGGAACATGCAGTTTGGCACTATAGGAAGGCCTTAGTTCCCCTATAGGGAGGCTGCCTTGCTCCACACAATCTGTAGTCTTCAGCTTCATGGCTTGATGTAAACAAACCTGTTTATACAGGCTGTTGGAAGAAAGTCTGTGTTTGAGGGAATAGATGTGTGGAATAAGGGGAACTGGGGTTCTGGAAGTGACCTACTTTTTTGTTATTTTTGGCAACTATTGTAGGAATAGTTAATTGCCTAAATTGTGACTTATACAGTGCTGCAAAGATAATACTAGGCTAATAATAATCTTTCTAATGCTAAAGTGCGATCCTTTGGTACTGAAGACCGGCCCACAGACAGACCTGCTCCTCCAAGGGAAGAAATCTATGAATACATCATTTTCCGGGGAAGTGACATCAAAGACATCACTGTCTGTGAACCTCCAAAAGCTCAACATACTCTGCCACAAGATCCTGCCATTGTTCAAGTAAGTTAACCTGGAGCATTGATAGAAAACTGTGAYGAGACACTGACAATGAAAGGTTGGATTTTAGTACTAACTTAAACAGAGGCTGCTTAATTGTATCCAGGAATTTTCAGGTGATGTCTGAAGCATACCAAATTTCATCTTAATATTTTAAAATATCAGCAGCTTTAAAGGCTTCAGTCACTGTCTAGTTTACCTACCTAAAAATTCAGGAAAAGAGGTAAACTAAYGATTCTCAGTGTTTAAGCTTTAATAATGCTGTACTTGAAGTAGAGAAACACTGCCGAAGCAAGTTGACTTCTGGGCACTGTAAATGTACTTTGTCTTGTTACAGTCTTCGCTGGGCTCTGCCTCTACATCCTCCTTTCAGCCACATGTGCCTTACAGCCCATTTAGAGGTATGCCACCTTACAGCCAGCTTGCTGCCAGCTCTTTGCTTAGCCAGCAATATGCAGCTTCATTAGGTTTAGGTAAGTAAAAACTTTACTTACTGGAATTAAAGGTATGGTCCATGTGTGCAGCTGCTGTGAAAGTAAATTACAGCACCTCTTATGGAATTCCTTGCCAAGTGTCAGGCTGTAACAAACAGCTAATAAATAGTTAAGATGTGATTGTAGGGAGATCTGTCTTAGACAYGCACACTCACACACACCCTTGCATAGCTAAAGGATCTTTCTGAAAGTAATGTGAATACTTAATAGTTGAAGATTCYTAGTCTAGCCTTCCTTACATAAACTGCATGTGTGTAAAGAGAACCTATATTCCCAGAGAGGACTGTAAATGAGCTTCTCTAATGCTGTTCTAGAGGTTCTTGTATCTCTTTCCAAGTCCTTCAGATGTTTCACTGCCTTGTATCTTATCCATATATCTTTTTTGCTTTCTCTTCTTCCCTCTGTCTCTTTAGAGAAATTGGTAAGCCCTCCAGCATCAGCAGCTGCTTCCAGCCCTAGTTCTTCTCCGTCTCCACAACCTGTTTCAGAGCCTGACATGTCTTCAGAGCCCCATCAGCTCTCTTCCAAGGGTAACAGCAGTTTGAGGACTCCAAATATTTGGAAGAACTGCATGGCACTTGCACACATTGTTTTTGTTGACCCCTCCTAGAATGTTAGCACTTTCATGGGTAATGATAGTACTAGTCCTTGGCTATTGCTCGTTTTTTTGTGCAACATGACTTCCTCCTGCTCTGCAAGTATTGATTAGAAAGACAGGAGAAGACAAGTATGGATCAATTGATCTGCTGTAAGTATCAGGATGGTACTGAGCTCTGGGGATGCTTGTGTGCTGCATCCCATGGAGAAACAGTTGCTGGCTTAGGACTGGTCAGTCTTTCCTAGAAAGATAAGCACCCAGTTTAACTGCAGTGGGCAGCCTTGCTGTTAGGTCAGTGGGAAAAACTGGGAGTAGTACCATAATTGAGGAAACTTYAGGGTGCATGATGGGGCAGGGTGTCTTGTCAGGACTCTCACTTAGTAAAGCATGACTAACAACTCGGGAAGCAATTCCAGAGTGTGGAGCTGTGGTGAACTAGGATAACATAGTTCTGGGTGTCTGCTTCTATGCTTAAAGAGAAACCAAAACACTTTTAAAGGAGGTTGAGTAGAGGTACTAGACTGACCATCTTCAGAGCAGAGACCAGGTGCAGCCTGCATTTAAACATGGTAATTAGTTTCACCTGTTTTTAACTTAAGCATGTATGCTTGTGTTGGCATGAAATTATTCTACTTTCCTGTTTTGGCCATCAGCCTGTGCTTATTTTTTCAGTGTTCTGGCTAAGCTTTGACACTCTTACGTTAAACTTTCACAGCAGCTTTGTCCTACTGAATAATCCTTAGGCTGTGTCTGTTGTCTTTGCAAGTTTTCCAGGTGTATGTAACTGGGAACCTGCATGATGTTATGTCCTGGATATATTTAATGTGGACTTAAATCATTCAAAGTGTCTGTGGCTTGGTTTACGTGTACTTCAAAGCTTTTCACTTTTCTTGCTCTTAAACTGTATTGAGCTATAAGTTTGCTTCCAAGCATTTTTTTATGCATAACTACATGTCTGTAGTAATCCAAAGCTTCTAATTAAATGCAGAATGCAGTATTTCTTCTGAGTACTGAAGACTGTCACTTTATAATACAATTGGTGTAAGGTATACCAAACCATGAAAAGTATTTACGTGTTTTGTAGTGTGAATAAATAAGCCTGGATGGAAGAGCTACAGAAGTCTTGGGTAACACTTTGGCCTTGACCAAGAAGGAATTTAAAAGGGTAACTTTGAGATCCTGGTCTGGTTTCAGGTTTTATTTGTTTGAAAGCTAGCTGTAAGCACTGACAGTGCTTCACATAGTTGAAGAGCTTTTGAAGATGGCTTACAAAATGATCAGCTGAGGTTATTAAGCCTCTGCAGCTTTTTTATTTTTTTTGACAAAGCGGGTGATCTTTCTTTGAGCAATTTCAAAATGGTATTTTTTCCTTTTGATTTAAGGTATCATGTTAAGTAAACCTGCAAGGAAAGTGCTGCATAACCAAAGATACACAAAGAAATTGGATTCCAGTATAAACTTTCTGTTAAGAGACTGCCTTGGCTTGCATATCTAACATGTGTCTAACTTGGTTTAAGAAATAAATGGGTAGATTTACTGATGTAAGGCATTGGATTTGAGGGCCGGGACTACTTGTCTGCTCTGCCCTAGTGTATTTGCCACTCAGTGTGTCATTATACACAATTTCTGAAGTTTTGAGCAATTCCTGAAAGAAGCGATTTCTCCGTAGAGGTGGATAGGGCTTGYGCAGTGCGGCCGCGCCACCTGAAGTGCCTCTGTTGTTGGGATTCCTGCAGGTGCTGCCTTCCCTTCTGTCCACCCCGTCCGCAAGAGCCCCATGGTGGAGCAGGCTGTGCAGACCGGCCCCGTGGACAACGTGAACCCCCAAAAGCCGCCCCCTGTCAAAGTAGCCCCCGGGGTTCAGCGCAACGGACGGCAGCTGCCGCAGACCCCAAGCAGCAAGGCTAATGGTAGGTACTGCCCTGGTCCTGGCAGGGCCTTTGGGAGTGGTCCTTCCACACTGCATGCCAAGGAAAGTGCCGTTTAGAAGCATTCTTCTAAGCTGCATAGTGAGGAAAGACTGAACTGTCCCAGTTTTATTCTTGTGCTCCTGTATTAAGGGTTTTTCCCTGTTTAAGTTTCTGTAGATACAGTTCAGGCAACACCTGTGCAAACCCAAGGACAGGTGAATGATGAAAATAGAAGACCTCAGAGGAGAAGATCAGGTAGGTTAACCTGACACTAAGCATTTGCTTTAGCTTATAAAAGCAAGTATGTTAACTGCAGTGAAGGGCAGAAGATTATGGGAGCAAAGCAAGGCTTTTTGAGGCTCTGGGCATTCAGAAGTGCTTCCCTTGCTAAGTAAGGTCTGGAACCTCAGAAGTTTAGAACCTTCTACAGATGAAATTTTGGTGTTGGTGTGTCCATTTCCCCCAGCCCCTAGAAGCCTTAAGTTTTAAAATATAATAAAATATTTTTTATAATAAAAACTGATGCTATGAGGTGGCAGCTGCTACATTTCTGTAAAACCTAAAGGGTTTTTTACTGGAAAGGGCAGCCTATTTAAGAATTGGAAGCTTACAAGTGATAGGACCCCTTAATTCCGTGTAAGTGTTTTATCTGATTGAGACTGCCTGCTGGTAAGCAAAAGTGAAATGAACTTCAGATCTAAAGGCACATTCCTGCCCAAGCAAAATAAGACAGGAAGCAARACTTGAGACTCAAGTTTTCAAATCAATTAGCCRGAAGGTAACTCCATTCAAGGGGGTTATAGCTTCTCCAAGGAAAAATTAAATGGCTTCCCAATTGTATGGTCTTTGGAGCATTTCTCAGTTTCCAAAATAAAGGCTGCCAGGGCTGCCTAATTCTTGGGTGATTTTTGAAACCTGTAGTCCTATTCCCTCCTGTTGTCATGGCAGATTTGCAGAGTAAGCACAGTAAGATGCCTGCAAATGAATAGCAATAAGAATAATTTTCCCTTTCCCAYAGTTTTACTTTATATAGTACTTGTTTTGATTTCTTCTCCTCACACTGAAAGGAAAGTTGGGAATAATCTGTCTTATTATTAAGACTAACATCCTGAAATGCTATCCAGAAAGTTAAAGTGTTGCTGTAATGTGTTTTCTACAGCCAAGTTCAGAAGTTACTTTCAAAGAGGTGTGGCCTAACCACAGGACTGGAAGCCAGAAACTCCTGAGTTCTAATCCTGGTTTTCTCTGGTCTTGAGCAAGTCATTTAACTTCCCTGCGTGTTACCGAGTGTTTAAACTCTCCTGCTTTCAGGAAACAGGAGAACCAGAAATCGGTCTAGAGGACAAAACAGACCAACTACTGTGAAGGAAAATACAATAAAATTTGAAGGTGACTTTGACTTTGAAAGTGCAAATGCACAATTCAACAGAGAGGAACTTGATAAAGAATTCAAGAAGAAACTGAACTTTAAAGGTTTGTGGCTTCATTAAATACGAATTGCTGAGCTAGTAGTAAATACTGCATAGAGAAACTCGTTCTCAAAATTGCATGATTACATGTGGCAGCAACTCAAATGTTGTCTGAGGGAGCAAGAAACCAGATGGCTCTTCAGTATGCATCAAGGAAGTATAATACATTTTATTATCTTCAGATGACAAAGCAGAGACAGGGGAAGAAAAAGGGGACCCTGGAGTGGCAACTCAAAACAATGATGGTAATGCAGAGGAGGACCTTCTGGGACCCAACTGCTATTACGATAAATCTAAGTCTTTCTTTGACAACATCTCTTCAGAACTGAAATCTAGGTAAATATTTTTGAAAAGCTTCCTTTACCTCTTCAGCTCATCAAAATAGTTTGGGTTGTGACATGCAATTTCAGGCCTAGAATTCTAGGCATGATTCATGGAAAGTGGTTTAATTCTTTAAAATTCTGTGCAAGACAACTGGCAAAATGTTGTTTAGGAGGGAGGACTGTCCTGTGTCTCATGGCTCAGTAGTCATTGCTAGACTTCATGCAGTGAGAGGAACTCACTGCGCAAAAAAAGCAAAGGTTTCAGCTAGCTCTGCTCTACCTTGTCTAAACTATGATATGAGAATGTCCAACGGTCTCTTCTAGTACTGACTTTACACCCGTCTGACTTAGAAAAATGCCTTATCTGATTCGTGGGAGGAGGCAAACAGGGTCATGCTGTGCTGAAGCGGGTGCAGCTTTGCAGCTTGGAGATGGGAGCAGGCTGAGTTTGGAGTCTGGACAGGGAGGAGTTCAAGACTGTAGAAATGTGTTAAGCACTGGGAACATTAATCTAGCTTTTTAAAATAATCTGCTGCTGAGGATGTGAGTTATCAACTGCACAATGAAGTTAGGCTTCTCTTCAGAGCCGGTGTGTAAAATTCCCTTGGTAATGTTTCTGCTTTCCTTGAGCAAAGCTTTTCTGCAGGTGTGCAGTGTGAGGCATGCAGGGCTCTGCAGAAAGAGGCAACCTGGTGCTGTGGTGGAGCTACTTGAGTAGGTGTCTGCTGGACCTCACTTGTGACAAGACTTCCAGAGAAGCTTCACTTCTTTCTTCCTTGTGGAACTTCGCTTCCACAAATTGGGAATTTGTTTTATTTTTTTTTCAAGAAAATACCCCGGGGTTTGAATTGCTAGTGAAACCCTTGAAAGGTCCATTCTAAGTCCATCTGTAGTTTTCTGGTCTGAAAAAAGAGCTTGTCAAAGGCAGTAGCTGTCCCTTGGAACCCCTGCTTGCCACGTGGTGGGTGCTGACRCTGCACCTGGTCCTGGACGCAGCCTTTTGAAAGAGGGAAAGTCTTTTAGTTCAACAAAACGGGGTGTTTGGAGCCTCCTGATGCACGAGTTGGAGGCTGTTTAATGTTTATTTAATCAGAATGTGGAATCCGAATGTGGTGGTGTTCAGTTCTAGGCGCACGACGTGGGCTGAAGAAAGGAAGCTCAATACGGAGACGTTCGGAGTGTCCGGGCGGTTCCTGCGCGGCCGCAGCTTTCGCGGTGGCTTCCGAGGTGGAAGGGGCAGCGGAGCAGCAAGGAGGAACCAGCCCACGCACAGAGCTGGCACCGGCAGGGTGTAACCGCAGAGGCAAGTTCTCCCGCGCCAGCAAGTCCCGGCTCAGAGCGCCGAGCTCCGTCTGGCTCTTCTTGCTCAATCTCTGTGCAACCCATTTAGCTGCTTCAGCTCRGGGATATATCAGAAATGGTTCCTTATGGGATATGGTATATCTTTGAGGGATAAAAGTAAATATGGGCTTAAAGTGCTTAGTCTTTGTGGGTTTTTGGAACTAGCTTGCTTCAGAAGCTAGAGCTTCAGAGCTGCAGTGATGTTTGAGGCTTTCTAGGCAAGAATTCGAGGTGATACCAGGGTAAAAATGTCGCTGCTTTATTGTTGGGAGCGGGTCACCTTGCTATGAAATCTAAATCTACCTTTTCCCCCCCCGACCAGGTTCTAACATTTCTCCTGAGAAAATGAAACTGTACATAGAAAGAAAACGACCAACTGCTGCACTAATGTGGGAAAATGGTTCATATTGTTTACTGTCTCAGCTCAAATGACAGAACTTCATGTACTACTGCTTCTATTCTGGACTTATTTTGGACCAGCAATTAACAGCTGGAGTATTCTTTAGAAGAGGGAATGTGTTCAGGGGTACCTTCTTCAGGGTGGCTTTAATTTTGTTTTGTTTTTTTTTGTTTTGTTTTTAAGTGCAGACTAATTTACAACATGGTTCTTCTTTCTGGGTTTCTCAAAGGCTGCTATAGTCGAAGCTTAAAGTCAGACTCCTTTTCTGCACCCTGAAGAAGATAATCATGCTATTTTAACATGGAACCAAAGCTCACTTGAAATAAACCAGCTAACTTGTTTGTTCCGAGTAACCAAATGGATTCTTTGGTGCTGCTGGTCTTGGAGGCAGCATGTGAGGTAGCACTTGGTATCTGGACGAGCGGATTCCTGGTGCTGACGAGTTGTGTATATTGTCACTTGGGAATACTGGATTGTTGATCATGTAGTAGTGTAAATGATTGGACAACTGTTTGCCAGCTGTGTGTGTCCTGCAGCCCGCCCGGTGCGGGGCACCCGGAGCCTCCACGAGAGGCCGGGGCTGCGCGGGAGGAGACCCGAGGGGCTCTGCCCTGTCCGTGACGGTCCCYGCAGTGCGGAGCTGCCGGGGAAGGAGCCGGGAGCTCCGCTCGCCTYGCTCACGGCAGGGCCAATGGCAAACAGTTCTCCATACACTAGTAGGCTGTGGTGGAACACTATGGAATGTTTGCATTGAACTAGGGATGGGGAGTCCGTATAATGAAGCTTAAGAGATGGGCATGTTTAATTTGTTTCCTCGAAACCCCTCATACTGTAAATAGTTTAGTTGGTCTTTTGTTTTTAAAATCTGTATGTGGGGAAAGGGGCTGGGAGGGAGGGGGTTAAATCTGTTTGCATGAATAAGTGGGTTAAATTGCTATAGGCATGTGTCCTGTTTCTGTTCAGTAGGGAATTTTGTTCAAAAAGCACCTTGATGACTGAACCCCTTACATAGCTAGAACTTTTAGTTATGCGTTGACTTAGGTTACTGTAAAAGCTTGGATTTATTTTTGTAGGACTTTATTGCTCAAAATTAGAACATAGCAGTGGGGCTGCTCTTTGGAGTAATGTAAATTGTAATTATAATAAACATGTAAATGTTTAATRTTTTCTTCCTTTTCTGTACATCAAGCCAGCAACATCAGTCTGTAGGACTTGTCCACTAATCTATGTCAAAAGCAAAACTATTGCAGGTTTAATGAGCCTGGACAGTACTACAGGGTATTTGTAAAGGGAGCTTAAAATCCCTGTTAGCCCTAGAGGTTTTTCTGCTGCTCTCTGCATTCCTTGATCACTCTGGGGAGACCTGAGGATTGAGGAAAACTAAGGAATGGAAGAGTTGCCCCAGCAGCAATGTGTGCTTCRTTCTGTGTRTGCCTGCTGGAACCTGATGGTGTGTAGTGGTGGTGCAGCTTAACTAGACTTGGSTTTGGGTGGCAATGCTGCAGTAGCCAGGAATGGTTTTAGTAAGTGGGCTGATACCCTTTTTTCATGGTATGTGCTAAAATCTGGAAGCTGCTGCAAGCCTTTGATTTCTGTGCTGGCAAAACAGCCAGTGTGATGTTCTAARATGCAGTCTCATTGTCAGAATAACTAAGCACTGAGTACTTCATAGCTTCTGCTATATAAATKCAGTGAATTGAGACCGAAATTAACTTGTGTAACCATTTTTTTTAAGGCAGTAGTTTCCTTTGTTACACATTAAGCCTCAGGCCACRATTGGTTTTTGTGATGCCACTGAAGCTGTTCTATGATGGACACATCTGCAGCAGTTGCAGAGGTGGCATTGCTGTCCCTGTACCCCTGTGCACTTTGCCTAGTGCTGGGAGGAGCCTAAGGGCTCTGGCCTAACGCTCCTGGGCTCCTTGGCTGCTAGGCCTGGTCTAGTACAACTGTCTCTGCTGCTTCAGTCTCTGGCAGGTACCTCTCTGCAGGTCTCCTTGGGGGAAAGGCAGTGATGGCTTCTGCAAGGACCCCACCAGCTCAGCACTGCCCAAGGCCAGGCCTTGGGCTGCTGTTTCATCCCCAAGGCCTCTTGCTCTGTGCTGGTTCCAGCAGGGCAGCTTCTCTAGCTTAGGGGATCTCACACTTGCCTGAGCAGAAGGWGAAAATCCACGCAGCTCTCCTGGCCTTGGTGGCTGCGCTGCTCTGCCCACACTTCCCCTGGAAGCCCTTGGCTGTAAACAGCTGCTCTCTTGTGGTGCAACAGGCCRGGAAAAACACGGAGCTGCTGCAGGCTGTGTTATCTGCCTGGCCCAGGCAGCTCCCCCTTGTGCTAAGGGGTTGTCCTGGAGCCCTAGGGCTCTCCTTGTGTCTCCCTTTGCAAAGGCTGCTCCTGTCATACAGGCACYGAGGAAAGGGAAGATTCCTTCTCACAATCTCCCCTGTTCTCTAACCTTGCTTCACAGCCAAGTCTCCTTTATTGACATAGAACCACTTATCACCTGCCCTTTCCAACTGTGCCTAGTTTAGACTCTACTAYGTGTTAAGTGCTGAGCTGGTTAACAAGTGCATCTACAGTAAAYAGAATCACTTTCTGGGCTTTGGAAACAATCTAAGACATGATTTTTAAGCACAGGGGGGTAGTACAGRAGTAGTTCTCTATGTTATTCAGAGAAGGAACAGGATCTTCCTCTGCAGCAAGGAAGAGGGAATTGAGGGAAGATGCTGCATGTGAACCCTAAAAACAGGCTTGACCAGGAACTGCCTGTGCCTCCTGCCTCTGTGCTGGACTGAAACATGAGCATGAAATCAAGTGCTCCAGGAGAAGGGTGACTAGAGCTTTGCTCTTAGCTCGCAGCTGGGGTACRGGAGTCTGTGCTCTCACTTCGAGCAGTAGGAAGGCACAGGTCTGTAAATGCCCTAGTGGGCAATCACAACAGCAACACTTTATTCTGAACCAGAAGAATTGTGCAAAAACTAGTGCAACAGCCAGTCTTGCAGCCCCCTGCTCTGCACCACCTTGACACAGCTTGTGCTGCCTTCCCAAGCAGCACCCCCCTTCTCCCCMGTGCTCTTTAGAGGGAAATGCAGAACCACTCGTGCCAGGTGTTAAACATTACATCCAGGCCAGAGACCTTTGAATTCAGAAATACAATTCAGGAAAGAAAAAAAAAAACCCTCTTCATGCTTCACAGAGGTTACAACAGWGTTATAAGAGCCAGCTAAAGGGTAAAGCTAAGAGCTCAGACAGAGAGGAAGAGAAGTATTAAAGTGTCAAGAAATGAAAGGCAAWTTTTTGTTCTTTAATGGATCTTGCTATTTTGCAGTCAACCAAAATAGTTGGAAGGTAATTAAAATTAAAGGAAAAAATAGATTTCCTTAAAATAAGAGTTAAAAAAAAACTGTAGGTTTATTGTATGTCTCAAGAGGGGCACAGTATGAATAAGTGGAATGCCTACATGTTCTCTATACAGAATAACCCATCACTTGAATTAAAAAGCAGCTAAGCAGTTGAATTTCAGTCATCATGATGTTTTCTTCTGTTTTTTCTTTTCATTTTCTTCCTTTTCTTTTTCAATTTCAGCAACATACTTCTCAATTTCTTCAGGGCTTAAAATCTTAAAAGAGAAACACAAGTGACCCTCAAGCCACTAATACAACTCGGAGGCTATTAAGCGAGAGCTAGCATTGACAGGGCAAGAAACTTCTAATATCGTTTATATAGACACAGCTACATCGTGCAGACACAGCAACATGAAGTGTTCCACTAATATCAAATGAAAGTATTTGGCAAAGCAGGACGGGTGATTAAGGACTGGCAGTTACTGTAAACCCAGAGCAGTATCAGGGAAACATGCTTTAAAAAGGAGGAAAACAAGTGCCTTACCTTCAGTGGCTGATCTCGTCTCATAACTGCCAGCTCAATGTTTTTCCCACCAGACTGTACAACCTGAATGAAAGTCAGAGCCCAACCATTAGTTAATTCTAACAAGCACCTTTAAAATCTTCACGGATGGGGAGATAGCTGGGAAAATTTTCCACCTCCTTAACACAACTCTAACAAAAAAACTCTTCTGGTATCAGGGCACTCATTGTGAGGACACATTTCCAGAATTCCCAATTCTGACTACAGATCTAAACTTTAMATTAATACAAAAGCAAAATATAGTGCACATAGTTTAGTGCATCTTTGATACACTTGTTTTAATTGCCACAACCAGTCTATTTCTTCCCTGGAAAACTGCTACCAAATCCTGTGTGAATTACAGAAAACACTGCCTTCAATACTCTGAGGCTTGAACTTCATGCCATATTCAAATACACAGTGCCCTCAGTTCACAGCACAAGGTTTTAGTAGATTATCTTATAGTGCTTCCCTGGGGCATATATGTTTGTACACACTCATATTTAAGAGGTCACATATGGTGACAAGTCATATGAGGCTTCTGAAGCGCTCACCTCAAGAAGAGCCTTGATGACAAGTTTAATAGTTAGGTCATCTGTCTCGATGGCTTCATCAGTGTAGTTTTTCTCCAGGAATTCACGCACAGATTTGGCTCCCCTGCCAATGGCATTGGCCTGAAAACATTGAAGAAAAGGTTAAACACAGAAGTTCTTTTTGTTGTTAGTGTTTAAGATGCAATTAACACAGGTTGTATACTTGGGTAATTGMAAGCTATTTTATAGCTTATATAGACTTATATGAGCTATTTTGTAGATTTGATCACTAAAGACTTCTGCAGCTGTGAGCCAGCACCACCTGCCCAGTTACATCTCCTTTCTGCAGTCYGTCTTTGCCAGAGACATTAACTCTTGAACATGGATCATCACGGATCAGACGGGACAGAACCAGCTCACCTTCCAGGCATGGTAAGTGCCAGATGGGTCAGTCTGATACAGGCGGGGGGTTCCATCAAAGTCAAATCCCACAATAAGAGCAGAGATCCCAAAAGGCCTGCGGCCATTGCTCTGAGTGTATCTCTGATAAGAAAAAGGACACATTTACTTCAGAAACATTTCCAACAGCTTTTCTCTAGAGCAAAAAGCAGAACCTGTGAAAGTTATAACCAAAAACATCATCAGAAAGTATTTTAACAGTCTCTCTTACTGAATTATTGAAGTTGGTATTCCTTGCCTTACAAGAGCTCACAAGTAATCAGGTAGGAATCAGGTAGGATTCCTTTTCTTAACATGCACTGAAGTTTTCCACATGATTACAGTTATCAGAAAAGAATCTTGCTGTCTGCCAAGCAGCAGCCCAAAAGCCCACACTTAAAACTGTTCTGACAAGCACAGTTAAAAAGCTAAGAAAGAGCACGATGACATTTGAACACAAAGTCAGTTTTCAACAGTAGTTTGCAGCTTCTCTATTAGAGGACATAGGATCATACGCAGTGACAACTGAGCTGCAGGACAAAACACAAGTTATAGCCCTGCCCCGACATCAGTTTAGTCAAATAGTTGCCACATTGCACACAAGAAGTGGTCATGTGCAAGGAGGCCTACAACAAACAGCACTATTTTAGTAGGAATATAGTTAAGACAGTGAAACTGTTACAGTTTGTAACAGTTTTAGAAAATTTGGGAATGGGCCAGAATAAAAAACTACAGTAAGATTCCTGTAAGGAAATAGAAGTACTGCATTTCAAAGTAGTATTCTGCTCTGGTAGACTAATAAAATGCAGTTGGGCACCTCTTAACATCATGGTTCACTTTAACGTTATAGTTCATTTAAATTCATGAATATCAAATATAAAATATACTAAGTTTAGCACAGATTTTCTCCCCTCATGCTTCCTCTGTTAAGACTAACAGAGGGAAACTAAAATTGGATCCCCGAAGAAGTAGTGACAATAATACAACACTATAACCGTGCACATGTGCACATGAACTGAAGATGCAGATCAGCTTTAGCAAAACACTGCTGAGCATTCCTGATAATACACACCAGTGTAGTTAATGCAGCCTTTACAAAGTGTTAATTACCTCTTTTTTAGGAAAGAAATGRTAATCAGCTCTCCTTTCTCTCTATCACTACAACTCTATTTGGAAGAAATAACAGTAGTCTGTTTTGTTGCCCTGATTTTCACTAGTCAAGCAGAATGTGGCCACAAGAGAAGTTTTTCTGCTAGGACTGAAGTGCTGCTCCCTAAGCATATTTGAAACGTCTCTGTAAGTTCAACGTACCTGCTTCAGACTAGCGATGTAGCGCGTGATGTATTCCACAGTGACAGGATCCTCCACCGTGAGTCTGTGGCTCTGACACTCTACACGAGCTCTATTTATAACTATTCTGGCATCAGCTGTAAGCCCTGAAAGGAGAGGGTGTTCAGGGCACGTGCAGGTTCATGCTCCATGCTGCACGCACAAATATCTAGTCTGCCTCGAAAGGGTCAGGGTTCATCAAAACCAAACAGCACATCACATAGCAAATGAGACAGCACTTTCCTCAGGTTTGCCGAGCAGGAAAAGCACATTTGAAGCAATAAGGAGGAGTTTAAGCWGAAAATTTTAGCTTACAACTTTCACATCTGTGAGTTAGATTACTTGGTCTAAAACTACATGGTATTATCAGAACACTACTGGCACCCTGAAAGCATTCCATCAAGCAGCCCTTTAGCAAAGGGATTTCAGTTCTCAAACATTTTGGTTATATTTTCTTATACAACCCCCTAATTATGAGCTTGCTTATCTTCCCGCAAATTTTGTCCAGTTGATGGGGATATATAATGTTAATTGCTGAAAATGAGTATGAAGGGTTGAAATCTGTTTCAAAGAAAAAGCTCAAAAAAAAATACAAAACAAGCAGTCAAACAAGGCAAAACAATCACACACACCCCACGCTCCCATGCCCCTTGTGTATGTTCGGGACAAAAGAAATTAGTCAAGGCATTTGGGAAAGAGAGCCCCAAAGTAGTACAATTTTTACACTTCAAACCACTGGAGACACAATTGTTCATTCACAATGAACTTTCCAAACTAGAATGCAAGATTTTTCTTTGTTTCATGCAAGACTTTTTTCAAAGCTTAGCTTTTGGGGCTTGCTGCCCATAGGAAAAGGTACCTATAACTGATTAATGGCTCTTATCAGTCCTGTGACAGGTATTAATATGCATCCCTGCTCCTCTAAGCCACACAGCTATATTTGTGCCAATGACACATCACTTGTTTCTTTTCATCCTCACGTTAACCCAGAGGGCYTTGTTAGCTCCAACAAATGTTTCCTTTCATTACATCACTGTCTCTATAKATTTATACGTACACTGAGCTGTCCTATTCCAAAAAGGATAAACAACTGTACATATTCCTTCCCCACAGCTACGCATTTTTGTTTCCAGAACTCACAAACCTTCCCAAAGATCCAGTAACTGCTAACCCTAACTCAAACCCCCGCAGAGATCATATACCTGCAAAAGCCATGCAGACATTGTCATCAAGGGCACAGATCTTCCGCACGGTTCTTTCATCCTGAAGTTTTGCCACAGACTTCTTCTCCACACCCAGAACAACAATATCCTTCCCTCTTACTCCAACCTTTAACATGCAAGAAAGAAGAATCAGTTAACACAGGTCCCCAAAACAGCAGCTTCAGACCTAACTGAAGCGAGTAGAAAGGTAAAAACACACAAAAACATTTGAAGCCAATATGTTGCTTCCTATTGCAACAGCCTGAAAAAAAAAGGCCTGATGCAAGAAGAGAAATTGCATTAGATTCCAGCGTGTCATTCCATAGTCAGCTTACACTCATTTAAATCTATGCTGCTTCTGAGGGGTTTATTCCCACTCCTCACAACTGTTTTTTCCCCCAACTCCCCCCAATACCAGAATTGATATTTATGGAGCTACTCAGAACAGGGGGGACAGTAGGTGACTTAGCTGAAAATCAAYCCTCACAAGGTAACAAGACTTGGCAGCTGGAACTATCCTTTTTGGTAGGAGGAAGACCCCAAATCAGCTCAAATTCATTATGCAGCCATTGCCTTAGGTCCAGAAGCAGGATCAAGATTAGTCTGTCACGATGGCCGGTCCACTGGTGTTGCTCAGGTCAGAACCCCAAACACTTAAGATTGAACCAAGTAAAATTTGCACGTAGGCCTTTTATATACTTTTAACCCTGCTCCTTTCCATGGCTGGGCATGCATAATTTATTCTTATATGGTGGCCTTGCTCTTGACGTGTCACAAGCATTTCTAAAACCACTAACCTCAATCAGCTACCCCAAAAAAGAGGTAGGGTCCAGATATGTTTTAATAAATGCTAGTTTTACAACACCATTTTTTTTTTTTGGGGGGGGGGGGCATAAAGAAGACAGAGGAGGGGTCTGTTTGGGACTGCATCTTGTTACGGTCGTTCTTAACCCAAGCAGAAAATTTTCCTCTGGCTATTTTGCTATTTTAGCTGTTTCCAGAAGCTGGAAAGTCACTTCCACACAGTGACACATTTCCCAACCCACTGAAAATCTGCAGTTTACACTGGTATTGCATATCACCGTTTGCACAGCATGCAGAATAACAAATCAGGGGGTCATTATTTTTCAGCCCATCCATTAGCAACCTTGCTGCCTTGGGCAGAGGCAGCGGTGCCGCGCGCTTGGCTGCGAAGGCTGCATGGCCAGCGCAGCAGCAGCCAGGGCCTTCTAACACCCGGCTCTTACACACGACACCCCTTCYATTAAATAAAGAGCTAAACGGAGCATTCTGCAGTATTTCAAGGCTCAACAATGGCCGGGAAGCTCCCCGCGCGTTTCCGCAGCCAAGGGACCCCCACGGGCGGCGCGAGGGGGGCTCGGCGGGCAGAGCTCGGCGGCGGCGGCCCCAGGCCCGGCCCAGGCCCGAGCCTAGGCCCGGCAGCACGAGTGGGCCCGCGGGCAGGCCGGGCCGCGAGGCCGCGCGCCCTCCCCCGGCTCCCAAGGGCCGCTCACTCACCGCCGTGGAGCCCTTCTTCACCGCCTCCTGGGCGTATTCCACCTGGAAGAGGTGCCCGTCCGGCGAGAAGACGGTGATGGCGCGGTCGTAGCTCATGGCTGCGGCGCCGGGTGCCCCGCTCCGAGTGGCGCCGCTCGGCGGGGCCTGCGCGGCGCGGCCGGAACCAGCCGCCTCCCTCAAAAGCGCAGACTCATCCCCGCGCCGCCGCGCCGCGCCCACAGCGCCCCCTGCGCCCACAGCGCGCGCTGCGCCCACAGCGCCCCCTGCGCCCACAGCGCGCGCCGCGCCCACAGCGCCGCCTGCGCCAACAGCGCCGCCTGCGCCAACAGCGCCTACAGCGCGCGCTGCGCCCACAGCGCCGCCTGCGCCAACAGCGCCAACAGCGCGCGCTGCGCCAACAGCGCCGCGCTGCGCCCACAGCGCCCCCTGCGCCCACAGCGCCCCTTGCGCCCACAGCGCCCCCTGCGCCCACAGCGCCGCCTGCGCCAACAGCGCCAACAGCGCGCGCTGCGCCAACAGCGCCCACAGCGCCCACAGCGCCCCCTGCGCCCACAGCGCCCCTTGCGCCCACAGCGCCCCCTGCGCCCACAGCGTTGCGCTGCGCCCACAGCGCCAACAGCGCCCCCTGCGCCAACAGCGCCCACAGCGCGCGCTGCGCCAACAGCGCCAACAGCGCCCACAGCGCCCCTTGCGCCAATAGCGCCCACAGCGCCCACAGCCTTGCGCTGCGCCCACAGCGCCCCCTGCGCCCACAGCGCCGCGCTGCGCCCACAGCGCCCCCTGCGCCAACAGCGCCCACAGCGCCAACAGCGCCCCCTGCGCCAGGCGCGCGCGCTGCGCAGCCGGCGTATCCTGCGCAAAGCGCCTCGCCGCCCGCACGGCCGCGCGTACGCACTCTGCGCACGCTACGCACTCGGCGCACCTGCCTGCGGCAGGAGGGCGGGCGGCAGGGACGCACCATGTGCG